TTGGCATGTGCCCCTGGCAGCCTGAATGGTGTGATGGCTGCCGGCGTGGGAGGGGCACGCAGCCCACCAGGTAGCATGTCGGGGTGAGAGGGCCTGTCCCTGGGGCCCCAGTGTGACGCTGCTGTGTTCCCCGGGACGAATCACTCCCCCTCTCTGGGTCTTCCTTATTCTCTATCAAATGAGGGGGTGACTGTCAGGGTCTCAGAGGCTCTTTCAGATCAATACCCCCTCACCCTGACTTTCTTTTGTTAACCAAGGTACACATAGAGGAAAACACATATATCTTAGGTGTACAGCTTGAATCATTTATGAATTCTAAAATTTGGAAATTTTGTACACACCCATGAAACCACCGCCCAGATCAAGACATGGATCCAGCACCCACCCACTCCTGCCCTAGAAGGCTCTCCTCCCCTGACCCAGATCAGCTGTAATCTTTTATGATTAATGTGTCTGCTTGACCGAGCACATTATTCTTTTTTGTTTTTATTTTTTTTAACTTTTTATTTGATATTGAAGGATAGCCAATTAACAATGTTGTGATAGTTTCAGGTGCATGGCAAAGGGACTCAGCCATACACATTTTATTATTTACTCATTCGGCTGCTCTGGGTCTTAGTTGCAGCTCTCGAGATGTTAAGTCACAGCATTCGAACTCTTAGCCGTGGCATGTGGGATCTAGTTTCCTGACCAGGGAACGAGCCCAGGTCCCCTGACGGGAGCGTGTCCTCTTAGCCTCTGGACCACCAGGGAAGTCCCTGAGCACGTCGTTCTTTCAGGCTCTTTCCTGTCCTCCCTGGACCCGGACTGCCACTGGCCACGTGTGGCTGCTGAGCGTGTAAAGCCGGGCTCATCACACTGCTGTGTGCTGAGTGCACCGGCTTTCTGAGGTTCAGTATGGAAAACAAAACTACCTGTTTCAGTGTGGCTTCTAGCAAATTTACGATTCCCTATGTGTTAGGGCTGCTCTGGGCTGTGCTGGGGGTCTTCTTTCCGGCGAGGACTTGCGCCCTGCAGCTTGCAGCCTCTGTGTGGCCTGCCTCTTCTCCAGGAGGTGTTGCTGGTACCTGGAGGGTGCCAGGGACTGTAGTTGAGAGCCCAGGGTGTGCGCATGGCGGGGAGGTGGCCCTGCTTTCTGTGGATGTGCTCTTTGTGGTTTTCAGCGTGGGCAAGTCCCTGCAGGCCCCTCAGGTTGCCGGCTTTGCTCCTACACTGAGGTCTGGCTGTCCACAGAATTATTTTTGCTGTTTCTGCCTGTTTTTGAAAACTCACATTTAAGCCCACTTCCCAGAGGTGGTGGCACCTCCCTTGCCACGTTGAATGCCCATTCTGTGAGGACCCTAGAAGGAACAGAGGTGGAGAATTGTACAGTCATTTTGGGTTGGGTTTAAGTTGACTCAGACCTTTGGGGGACTTTTTGCAGAGTCCACACCCTGAGGGGATCTCACCTTTTTGAAGCCTCCGCCCTCCCACAAACTCCACCCCAACATCCTGTGGTGGGGGAGCCCCTCCAGGCCCGCCAGGCCCACCTCTATGTGGCCGGCCACTTCCTGTCTGCCCTCTGGAGGGAGGGGGCTGATTCCAATAGTAGGGATGGATGAGGCTGCTTGTCTCCGTACTTTTGTTTGAAAGAATCAGTTTTGGCAAACGTGTCAAAAAAGTTTGGTTTTAAGCATGTCTCAAATTCTCAAATGTGTAGGGTTTGAGTTTTATTTTTGCAGTTTGAGACATAGCTATTTTTTTTTAATGTAATTTTTGAGACATAGCGTTTTTTTTTTAATGTAATTTTGTTCATTTACATTTATTGTTATGCTGTGTTTCACTGGGTTCTGCTACCCTGGTTTGCTTCTTTAGCTTTGATCCGATTTCCCATATACTTGTGGTTTTAAGGGGGACTGTGCTCTGTCTGCACTTTCACTGTGGCTTTCTTAGACCTTGTCAAACTTCTTGATCTAAATTGTCTAATGGCTAACAGACACAAGCGCAAGCGTCCTTGTTTCTCTAGATAGCCATATATAGCTATGACGGGGCAGAGGAACTTTGGACCTCCTTCTATAGACATCTTGAGCTATGGGGCTTCCTCCTCCTGCTTTGCTCTTCGCCCCGCCCCCTGCTGCTGGGGCTCAGGTTGAGAAACATGTTATTTCTGGGTTCCCCTTTCTGGCTCTGCAGTTCTGCTGTGTCCGCTCTATGCTGATGACTTACACAGGCCCTTAGCAGCACAGTATGTCGGACTGGGAGCAGAAAAGGATGTTTAGTCATCTGGGCTGATTACACAATCTCTCCAAGCCCAGCCCATGGAACTTATCTTTTAAAAAAAAAAGCTAATATACTGAAGGAGGATAAGTGAGGAAAATGTGTGAGGCTGCACCTGGCACGTATTAGTTGCTTGATAAATATTAACCTCCCCTTTCCTCCTTCCTGTTAGTATTCTTGGTGGCTTGGCATGTTTTGTCTTAATATTGTGAAACTTGACCTTGAGATTGCTTCTGGCTTAGTCATTCTTTTTTGTTTCTTTCTCCCTCTTTTTAAAATTGAGGTGAAATTCACATAACATAAAATTAACCACCATTAAAAAATATACAATTCAGTGGCATTTAGCACCTTCACAGTGTTTTACAGACACTGCTGCTGCTGCTGCTGCTAAGTTGCTTCAGTCGTGTCCGACTCTGTGCGACCCCATAGATGGCAGCCCACCAGGCTCCCCTGTCCCTGGGATTCTCCAGGCAAGAACACTGGAGTGGGTTGCCATTTCCTTCTCCAATGCATGAAAGTGAAAAGTGAAAGTGGAGTCACTCAGTCGTGTCTGAACCGACTCTTAGTGACCCCAAGGACTGCAGCCCACCAGGCTCCTCTGTCCACGCGATTTTCCAGGCAAGAGTACTGGAGTGGGGTGCCATTGCCTTCTGTACAGACACTACCTCTATCCAATTCCAAAATATTTTCATCACTCCTAAAGGACATGATGACACTTTTAAGAAGGCCAGCTTTAGGACTTACGTCATGGTGCAGGGGATAGGAATCCGTCTGCCAGTGCTGGGAACATGGGTTTGATCCCTGGTTCAGGAAGATTCCACATGCTGTGGAACAACTCAGTCCATGCGCCCCAACTCCTGAGCCTGTGCTCTGCAACAAAAGAAGCCACTGCAATGAGAAGCCCGTGCACAGCAACGAGGACCCAGTGCAACCAAAAATAAAAATAATAAAAAAATAAATAAAATTTAAAAAAAAATAAAAAGAAGAAGGCCAGCTTTAGAGTCAGCTGTACCTGCTAGCCATGTGACTTTGGGCAACTCATTATCTCTAGCCTTTTGTTTTGTCATCCTCACAATGGAAATAATATTGATTATTAATATATTACAGGATTTTTTAAAAGCAGCTTCATTATTGTATAATTTACACACCACAAAATTAACTCATCCTAAGTCACCCTAAGTTCAATTGTTTTTAGTAAATTTACAAAGTTGTGCAACTGTTATTGTAATTCAACTTTAGAGCATTTCCATCATTTTCTATTCCAATCTCTAGCTCCTAGAAACCAGGAATCTACTTTTTGTCTTTCTGGATTTGCCTTTTCTGGACCTTTCATATAAACGGAATCATACAACATGTGGTCTTTCATGGCTGGCTTCTCACTGAGCATAATTTTTTTTTTTTTTTTGAGCATAATGGTTTTAAGGTTCATCCCTGTTGTAGCCTAAATCAGTACCTCACTCCTTTTTATGACTGAGTAATATTCCATTATATGGATAGACCCTGTTTTGTTTACCCTTTCATGTGTTGGGCATTTGAGTTGTTTCCACTTTGGGGCTGTTAAGAATAATGTTGCCATGAATGTTTGTGATTACAAGTCTTTGTGTGGACATATGCTTTCATTTCTGTTGGGTAGCTATCTGGGAGTAGAATTGCTGAGTCACGCTAAAAGGTTTTAAGAATCAAGTTTGTTAATGTGTGGCACTGCCTGGTCACTTAGGCCTTTTGTATACAGTGGTCATTGTTTACATTATTTCCTCGTGGACTCTGTTTTTTTTAATGTGGATGATGTTCTGACCTTCAGACTTGTTATTCATATTTTGGTAACTTCTCCGTATTCTTACCTGTCACCATCCTGACATTTTCCTTATGGCGGTTTTATAATGCATGTATTCACATACCTGTTGGCTCTTTACGGCTTAGATCACCTGCTTCACTCATTCAGGCCACACACATTTAAGAGAGCCTCGTGTGTGCTAGGTCTGTGGGGTTTTTGATGGACACATGTGTACCACAGCAACTACAGCCGTTTGGCTCATCACTGCAGCCCCATCTCATGGCACCGTGTTTGTTGAATGAATGCAAACAGTTCCCTTGCCTTCAAGTAACTGAGTGTGGCTGGAGAGCCCTGTACAGCCTTCACTGCGTCCAGTGTCTGGGCTGAGTGATCTCAGACCTGGGACCAGAGGCCCCACTTCATAGGAGTGTCTGAAGCTACCTTGTACTAGCTGATGACAGCCAGTCATGCATCTCTTCCCAGCTCCACTTACAAGCCCCTGTTGATAGTTTGTAATCAGCCAACGTGGGGAGATTTATGCCAGCCATGGAAATGGGTAGAAGGCTACCGTCCACCCCAGCCCCTTTTGTGAGAGAGCCTGGTGTTAAACATTGACCAGCAGACCAGCCTGCCTTCCAACCTCCTCTTCTCTTACTCTCCTGACAAGATGGATTTTCATATGAGGAAATGGAGGCAAGGAGCATTGAAGGAACTTGCTCAAGGCCGCACAGTTGGAAAATGACAGAGTCAGAATCCGAACCCAGACCTGACCCTGGCCTTTCTGCGTACTCTCGGGCTCTCTGGCCATGTTTTTTTTTCCCCCTGCAGAACCGTTCTGCCCCCAGATTTTCGTTTTGATCATTTCTTAGTATTTTAGTTGCCAAGACTTCCTGGTGTGTTGCCTGAGCAACACTCACATCCCGTCCCCTCTCTTTTAACGGGAACTCTGTGTTTTATTTTGTTCCTGCAGAATTTCGCCAAAGAGTTTGTGATCAGCGATCGGAAGGAGTTAGAGGAAGATTTCATCAAGAATGAGCTCAAGAAGGCGGGAGGAGCCAATTACGACGCCCAGACGGAGTAACCCCCCACGCACCCCACCCCTTGCCAAAATCATCTGCCTGCTCCCCAGGGGAGGGGACCGCGGCCTCAGCTACCAGCCCACCAGCCCACCAGGGAGAGGAAACGCGATGAGAGGCGACGCCCACCACCCCGTCCAAAATCCAGCTCCCCTCCCCACTTCCCTTGTGCACCTGCCGTGTCCTAGCCCTCGAAGCTCATTGAACATCTTTCTTTTCTCTTTTAATCTTTTTCCCCACCCTTCTTTCTTATTCTAAAGAAAAATCATTTTGATGCCAAGGTCACGCACATCATCAGAATGGAGGCGCCTCCTATGGTGACCCTTTCCTGATATTTCTCTGACGCACAAGCAGCCTGCCCGGCTTCACCCACCAACCTCGTGTCACTTCTGGCACCTGGGTCATGCTGCTATCTTGGTTTTCCTTGGCGCCTGCCTGCTTCTGCTGAGGCGATGGCTGTGCCGGGAACTGTGCCCTCAACAGCGGCCTTCACGAGCACACACACGTCCCGCTGGCCAGGCTCACACCCCTGAGAGTCGCTCCAGAGCCCCCCCCACCCCCCCATTCCAAGTTGCCTAAGCTCCATGCCCATCCGAGACGGTGCTCGGTGGAGAGAACCGTAGGCCTGACTCAGACCAGAAGAGAAGAGAAAAAATTTGCCTTAAAAGTTGCCTGGCTTTGCCATCCGTCTGAAGTGGCCCATTCCCACCCTCTTGATCGAAATCTCACGATGGCGTGGGGTGGGGGCAAAGGTCTAGGTCCAGATTCAATAGGAATCTTTCAGGGGTCACGTCCCGGGCTCCCCAAGTGATGAGGATGTTAGGGAGAGAGGCCCGGGGTGCGGGATGGGACCTGAGGTCCAGCCAGTCAGCAAGAACAGCAGGGGACAGAGCGTGTGCAGTGGGAGCCCCGCCCTCGCGGGACCAGAGAGTCTGTGGGTTTAATCCTCGGCGGCACAACAGCGGCCAAAGGATTTCCTTTTTTTCAAAGAAAGATGTGATTGGCTTGGTTGTTCATGAGCACGTTTGATAGCGTTCTTTTTCTCTTTTCCTTGCTCATTTCGTTGGGGGAAGTCTGTGCTGCGTTGGGGTCGTTAAGAGCATCCGCACTCAAAATGGTTTACAGAAATAAACAGTTTTTTTGTTTTTCAAAAAACAAGTCTGTCTGATTGGTCTTATAAAGCTTCTCTCTTTCCTGGAAAAACGAAGATGGTTGTCATATCAGATTTTAATTGGCATTCACAAAGCTATTTGGGGCTGGTTGTTTTTCATATTCCATAGCTTGTTTAATTTTAGCAATTAACTGTAAGAAATGTGTGCTATTTGGGACTTCCGTGGCAGTCCACTGGTTAGGACTCTTGAGTTCCCAGTGCAGGGGGTATGGGTTTGAGTTCCGGTTGGGGAACTAAGACCCCACGTGCCACACGTGGTGTGGCCAAAAAAAAGGTGCTGTTTGCATCCCCATTTTATGGAAACCGAGGCTCAGGGAGACTCAGCGATTCACCCGTGGCCTCCCAGCTGGCAGGTGGGAGGGCTGGGAGTTGAACCTGAGTCTCCGGGTGGCCCTGGTGCGGTGGCTCAGGAGTGGCGGGGGAGGCCCAGGGTTGGAAAGAGTGACGAGACCACGGGATTGTGACAGGTCGCGTGTGGTCAGGCCCCTCCACTCTGCATTCAGGAAAACCGCGAGAAGGCGTCCCCCTCAGCTGGGCTATGACATGCTTTCTGGGGTTGAGCTTCAGAACGAGATTTCCAGCACGCCAGCCCTGCTGGGAGCGCAGAATCAGGCCAGAGGAGTTTCAGATGCACAGCTGGCTTTGGAGGAGCTGTGAGTGGGGTGGGGAGGGTGCGGGGAGACCAGGAAGGAATCCTGCAAGATGTGGGCAAGGCCCGAGGTGGCCCGGGGCCCGTCCTCAGCCAGGCTCCTCTGCTCATGGCTGGGCAGCTTGGTTAGCTTCTCTGAGCCTCAGCTTCCTCATCCGTGAGACACTTAAGGAGTGCTGAGGATTACGAGGATATCTGGCAGGGCTCGGTTGTCATCCCATCGGGCCTTCCACTAGGTCTTGACAGCTCTGGGTGCCCCAGTTTTTCCTAAACCTAGAACAGAGGGAGCCAAAGTAGGTCTCTGGCTTCCTTGCTTTTAGTGCTGGTTGGAGAGCTTGGATAATTACGCACGTAGATAAGCCCCCTCAGGAAGAAAATTACAAAGGCACTGGGGCTGGTTACGGGCATCAAGGAGGGCTTCTCTGAGGAGGTAACACCTGAGACGTGAAGGGGAGGACAGAAGCCGGCTAAGGGGTGTAGGGGAAAGGGGACCAGGGACAAAGGCTCTGGGGGGATGTTTGCCCAGAAGAAGGGCAGAGAGGGTGGAGCTGAGTTTATGTGTCAAGGAGCTGGGGTTTTAGTCGACAACTGCAGCTCGGGCCTTTGCTGGAATTTCAGAACTTGGCTGATGGGATCTTGATGTCCTCAAGGGCAGAGAGACCTTGCCTTTATGTTTTTGAGAGTGAAAGTGTTGGTCACTCAGGCGTGTCTGACTCTGCGACCCCATGGAGTGTAGCCCACCAGGCTCCTATGTCCTTGGGATTCTCCAGATAAGAATGCTGGAGTGGGTTGCCATTCCCTTCTCCAGGGGATCTTCCCAATCCAGGGATCGAAACTGGGTTTCCTGCAGCCCAGGCAGATTCTTTGCCGTCTGAGCAACCAGGGGAGCCCCCACCCCGCCCCCTGCCCCCTATAACCGGCATCCAGCAGGTGTCTGGTAGTGCTGCCTGGAGCTAATTCCACCCAGCTGCTCCCCACGCTGCCCAGGGCGTGGGCACCCGTCTGGCCTCCCTCAGGGTCTGGGGTGAAGCTCTGGGTACTCGCGCCTCCTTGCTTACAGACTCTTAATTACTTGACACAATGGACATTCAGTAGCTGTTCCGGGTTACCCCAAACTGAATGGTGGAAACCAACCGCTGTGTTGTTTGGCCCTTGAATTTGTAGAACTGGAATTTAGGAGGGGTTCAGCAAGGCGATTTGCACTAGCAGGTTCTCTCCTTTGGTCGTGGTCGGATCAACTGGCCTGGATGCTCAAGCCGACCGTCTCACACGGCCACCAGCTGGCAGCCAAGGCTGGACTGTGGCTCAGCGCACCCAGCGCGTCATCCTGCCATAATGTATCAGGCTGTGACCTTTTAAAAAATGTTTTAAATGTATTTTATTGAAGTATAGTAGATTTACAATGTTGTGGTAATTTCTACTGTAGAGCAAAATGATTGTCACACATATACTTACCTTCTTTTTCATATTCTTTCCCATTATGGTTTAACATAGGACATTGCATTTAGTTCCCTGTGCTGTAAGCAAGACCTCGTTTTTAATCCATTCTATACGTAATAGTTTGCCTCTGCTCACCCCAAACTCCCACTCCATCCCTCCCTCCCCTGCCCTTGGCAACCACAAGTCTGTTCTCTGTGTCTGTGAGTCTGTCTCTGTTTGATAGATAAGTTCTTTGGTGTCAGAATCTAGATTCCACGTAATGATAGTTGTTTTTCTCCATCTGGCTCACTTCACTTAGTACGATAACCTCTAGGCCCATCCATATTGCTGCAGATGGCATTATTTCATTCCTTGGCATGGCTGCGTAGCGTTTCATTGTGCATGTGGACCTTAACTTCACTAAGGGCTGTGGGCTTGCATGGCAGCCAGTACTCCGCAGAGCAAGCATCCCAGGGGGCCCAGGTGAGGCTGTGTGTCCTTTTCTGACCAAGTCTCCATTGTTGCATGGCAGCATTTCCACTGAACCACCACCCCTCACATTCAAGGGAAGGGGACTTGACTGCACCTCTCAGTAAGAGGAGTACCAAGACCCGTGCCCACTTTTCTGAAAAAAAAACACCTCGTCTGCTGTGACCAGGCACTGTGCTGGGCCCATGCCTCATGCTCTGGAGGCTTGCACAGGGCTGGTGGAGGGCAGAGGAGGTCTATGTGGAAGCCAGCCAATAGCTGCTGTGCCCTCCAGGGTCAGGGGGTTGGGGGGAGGGAGGTGGTGAGGGGGTGGGAGGTGGGGGTGTTATTGCTCTTTGCTGGTTGATCCCTGGGGGGAGGCTTCTGCTTCTCAACTTTGCCAGCCTCCCCACGGACCTTTACTCTCCAGGGGGCTGTCTGAGGCTGGCAAGGGGGCTGCCCAGCCCCAGGTGCCGCCCCCACCCCCAGGATGTGCTGTCCCTGTTCTCATCCCCCTGCTGCTTCCTGTTCCCCGTGTATTAGTGAGTCACAGAAGAGAGATGCCTACAGAGCCAAAAGAGGTCGGCTGCCAGGACATGACGCACGAGAGACTGAGATGGGAGGGAGCTCTGCCCTCAGGCTGAGCGGGGTCGGAGGTGGCCGGCCAGGCAGGCTGCCCCTCAGCTTCCTCCTCATGGCTTGTCTAGCCCATCGGAAAAGTCCACCCTAAACTTAGAAGGGAATTTCACTCACCAGTCACAGCTATACCCTAGTCCTTTGCTAATCCCCACCCCTCAGCGCCTCACTGCTCTGGGATCAAGAGGAAATTTCCCACTGGTCAGGGAGGGGGCGGGTGGTGGCGGTGACCAGGAGTCCTGCTTGTCCCTCCACTCAGGACTCTGTCCACTTCCTCCTCAGACCCCCGATCCCTATCCGGCATCCTTCCTCCTGTCTGAACGCCACCCCCCCCGCCCCGCCCCTCTAGAGAGACTGGCTTCTGCTCTGACCTGCTTCTTCAAGAAGGTCCCCCATATCCTGTGGGGTTGGTTGAGTGGTTGTCCACTGAACGTATTAATACATCTGTGCCCGGAACCTGTGCATGCGTGCAAAGTCGCTCAGTCGTCTGACTCTGTGCAACCCCATGGACTGTAGCCCCCCAGGCTCCTCTGTCCCTGGGATTCTCCAGGCAAGAATCCTGGAGTGGGTTGTCATGCCCTCCTCCACGGGGGTCTTCCCGACCCAGGGATTGAACCCATGTCTCTTACGTCTCTTGCAGTGGCAGGCAGGTTCTTTACCAC